GGGTGACACCACACCAAGGGTTGTGATCCCCTTACCGGTCACGAAAAAGACAAAAAAAAAATCCGGATTGAAATTTCTTTTCCTTTAATATACGAACTATTACTCTATTGTCTTTTGTATCCATTGTCGTTTCTGAGAAATTTGAATCTGAATTTTTCCCTTCCTGAGTGATCTTTCTCTCTGAAGCTTTGAGAATGTTCTTTGTCTCTGATATTCATAAACATACTGTCATGTGTCCAGCTGTGGCTTTTCCAGTTGCTCTTTTGGTCACTCGATGAGACCTTTCAGTCTGAGGTTTCCCAACTCTCTTCACATCTGGGAAGTGCATCTTCATTGTTTCTTCGAATGTCTCCTCTCCCCCCACCCCTTGGACGTGCGTTTTGGCACGTGGATGTCTACCCTCCTGTCCCCAGGATTTTCTGTCTCAGTCCTCTCCTGTTGTCTTCTGAGGAGCCTTGATGTGACCACCAGGCCCCTAGGCGTTCTTCAGCAGGATCAGTCCTGTTTCCCTCGCTTACTGTGCTCATCCTTTCAACTAGTGCGATTTTCATATTTTATTTATATTTTCCCCTTTGGTTCTTTAAAAAAAACCTGTTCCTGTTTCTGCTCCGTACTTCTCACACCTCCCCTGTCCCTGAGGTGCTCTTGTCTTATCCAGTCTGTCTGTCCCTGGGGCTCCCCCTCTGGCATCTGTGGGTGGGGTTGCCCTGCTGAGACACAGCCACGCCCTGGTGGCTGATGCCTGGACGCAGTTGGCCTGTGGCCTTACGTCCCCCACGGTGTGGGCCTGTTGGTCAGGTGCAGCACTCTGGGAAGGGCTGAAGAGCAGGTCCTGTCCTGACCAGTTGGGACAAGAGGCTGGGCCGCTGGTGGTACCGGCCTCTCGTGAGCCCAGCACCGAGCAGCTCCCCTGGTCTGGCCATCACCTCCAGCCCCTGAGGCAGGAGCATGGGAGGGGGAAGAGGGGGCAGGTCCTGGGGCTTGGAGTGAGTGGGGCATGAGGGGGCACTGCAGAGTTGTCCCCTGACCCCCCAGCGATATTTCTGCTGATACCTGAGTCCTGGGCTGTAGTGAAGGGGCTGCCATGGTGGAGCCCAGGCCGGGGGGGATGGTGGGGGGAGACCAAGGACCCTTACACTCCCTGTCTCCTCTGGCACCCTGTCCCCCACACAGAAGCCCATCCCCTCTCTCCTTGAGGGCGGCCTTTACACTCCCCAGGGGCTTGTCAATGCTGTCAGTTTTAGTTCCTGGAACCCAGGAGCCTTTTTAAAAATTATTATTTTTATTTATTGAATCAAAATTGATTATACGTATTTTGGGGGTTCCACATTGAGATCTATTGATCAAATCAATATTACTAGCATATGTATTGTTACAAAGCATACTTATACTTTATGCCCCTTGTCCAATCTCCCCCCTCCCCCTCCTCCCTCTAATTGCCCTAGATTTCTTCCCTCCTTTTGAAGGATGATGGTTACTCTGTTGATTTGCTGCTTAGATGATCTGTCCAATGCTGAGAGGTATATTGAGGTCCCCCAATATTATCACAGAGAAGGTGCTTCTTCCGTCACTCTGGAATGAGCTTTGTGGAGACAGACATCCTCTTCTTTATCTCTGCTGGTGACTCTCCTCGTGTCAATGCACCATCTGTGTGGTGGTTGTGGCATCTAGACGCTTTCACAGCAGCCATGGTTATTGTGGTGGCTGTGGTGGGCCACA